GTAGTCCAGTATATAAATGTTTGGGTTCATGAGGGGTGAAAGTTAAGAATATTACATAAAGGATTTAAATTAGTGTCTGATGGGAATAAAGGTCATCTATCAAAGAGTACAGCTAAAAGTAAATGAAATAACGTAGGATTAATGGTGGACAACATATAAGAAAACTGCTGAATAAAGTGCATAGATTAGGACTGAAGAGAGTGGATCAGTTCAAGTACCTGGGTTTTGTATTTGACATAACTTAGTACAGGAGACGTTGGAAAAAAAAGATAAAGAATTTAGATACGTTTCCCTGAAAGCCCAGGTTAGTATTAAGGCAAGAAACGGAAAGGCCTGTAGGAGTAAAAGTGACTAGATAACACCTTAGCGAGAGACTGGTGTGGAATGAGCATAAAAAATCAAGAGTTTGCCCTGTAGAAATTGACAATTTAAGACGCAATTGTGTCAATTGACGCAAAAAGTCAGTAAAGTATTTATGGAGATTGTTAGGTCACGTTGAATGACGCTGTGAATGTAGTGCTTAAGAGCGTATTAGAGTAAATTTGAATGAGGGACGAGGATACCAAAATCAAGATGATTAAAATACAAAGTGAGTGTGAGAAAGCAGGGATACAGTACCAAAAGGTACACAAGAGGCGAGAGGAAGTATATGTAGATAGAACCCCAGTGTTGAGTGAGAGAGTTCAGCACTTTATAAAGCACAACTTGCGGGAAGCAAGAACGTTAAAATAGAAAAATTTCCAATAAGACAAAAATGCTAACAAATTAAATTTGCATAGTTGATCTTATAAGGTTGAGCACATACGCCCTATTACAACCAAAGAGACGGATATTTCCAAGGAGCTGGGACAAGATGCAACAACGCTTGGGACCAAGGTGATATGATTATCTTTCTCTTTTCCTGTGGCCATTATGCTTCGTCTACTTTTTGCTTACATTTAACTAATTAAATTTGTCTCGAGGATATAATATATTGGTAGCGAGTATAACAGTCTATTTGATCCCTTGCTTATACGTCTCTCTGGTGGTCAAATAAGGCGGTGTTCAAATTCTGTCTACAGCATCAGAGGTAATAAATTGCACTGGGGATTCTAGCGGTAAGAATATCCGTATGCTGTATTGAAGTAGATCATTGTCCTAATGCAACTATTATCATTGCTGGAACTCGCAACAGATTTACAGTAAACTTTACACGTGTGAAGCTAAAAACAACAAACACAGCTTAGGTGTACCTGACCACCACCCCATCCCCACGTACAAGGGGCTAAATACAAGAACAAATTACGATTAAAATGGGGCTTATTTTCTGATCCAGTTAAATCCGTCTCCTTGACAGCCGACGTTTGTGGCAGGAGTGTTGTGAGTGGCAGCACCGTATCTGCCCCACCACCGTTTCCCAGACCAGGCGTAGGAATGCTCCTGTCTGCTCTTGTGCACAACAATGTGTCATAAATAAAACTATTCAAGTAGTATGCACACAAAACTTGTACTTTAGGCCTAGTTATATATATATATATATATATATATATATATATATATCTACATATATATATATATATATATATATATATATATATATATATATATATATATACATATATATATTAATATATATATTTATATATATATATATATATATATATATATATATATTTATATATATGTTTATATTATATATATATATATATATATATATATATATATATATATATATATATATATATATATATATATTATATATATATTATATATATATATATATATATATATATATTATATATATATATTTATGCAGAATAACCACATGTGAAAAATAGAAAATAGCATTTTCTATTTTTCACATGTGGTTATTCTGCATACTTGGATCAGTGTTTTTGTGATCATTGTTGCATATATATTTATATATATTATATATATATATATATATATATATATATATATATATATATATATATATATATATATATATATATATAATATTGTATATATTTAAATGTGAACAATTAACACTCGTAAGTGTGTGATTGATCATACTTCTGAGCCACTACAACTCTCAAGGTATTGTAAAGTATGAAATTCGTGGGTACACTTATCAATGTATTTATTTATATTATAATTATTACTATTGTTATTGTTTAGGATAAAAAACTACACTTGTGTATTAATTAAATTTATGTAAAGAAATTACACCAAGTCTTTTGCACTCTTCTGAGTGCTTTGTCAAGGTCTGAGTGTGTGATCAGGACGAGACTTACATCTCAAAGTCTAATCTGACGTTCATTAAACGTTGAGATAAAAGTCTCGTCCTAACAACACACTCAGACCTTGACAAAGCACTCAGGAGAGTGCGAAAGACATGGTGCAAATTTCTCACAAAAACTTCACAAATACACAAATGTGGGTTTTAATCCTATGTTATTATGTCTGTGAGAAGACATTACCATTACTGTATTGTTATCGTTGTTTTTATTGTTATTATGATTAATATTTTTATTATTATCGTTGTTGTTATTATATATTATTTGTATTATTATTTTATAATAATATTAATATTAATAAACAACAACAACAATAATAATAATAATAATAATAATAATAATAATTGTTATATTTTAGTAATAATGTTTTTATTGTTATTACTCATTTTTTTATTATTGCCAGTTAATTTTATTGTGGCTATTATTGCTGATATTTTTATTGGTACTTCAAACAGTACGAGCGACAGCACAGCCTCCAACGTTCCACTGTCACTACTTTGATCAGTGTTCCTACAACACTTCCTTCCCACCTTTGACCAGCAGTACCTCACTGTCCTTCCTACCTACCATTAACCAGCAGTAACCTCACCGCGATTCTTTCCCGCCTTTGACCATCAGTACCTCACTGTCCTTCCAATCTACCATTGACCACCACTACCTCCCCGTGCCTCCTTCCCACCTTCAACCAGCAGTTACCTCACCATGCTTCCTACCTACCACTGACGAGCAGTAACCTCACCGTGCTTCCTTCCCACCTTTGACCAGCGACGTTCATAATACTGCCTAAATTCTTCAGTCTGCGTGGGGAATGTTGGCTTATTACGAGCCTGGCTCTCTGGTTGAGAGGCAAGACAGTTGCCATCACGCTGTGGGATCTTCCCTAGAGAACGCTTGCCCACTACTTAACACAAACATTACACCTGTATTAATGGTAATATTTATGCTACAGCTGGAACTTGCAGTAGTCTGTTGACCAGACAACACACTAGAAGGTGAAGGGACGACGACGTTTCGGTCCGTCCTGGACCATTCTCAAGTCGACTGTCTAGCCTAAGTCTAGCCTAAGAACAACAATATTATATGCTTCGTTTTATCCACCAATTGTAATAAAGCGCAATGAGAGGAAAAATCAAGGAAATTCAATGCTTTATCACTTAACCGTTAATCGAAGTCTGTAAAGTTCGCTCGAATGAAAACAAAGCATGTTACAAACACATTAATATCATAATAAATACTACTCAATGGAGGAAAACTGTCAAGCATTAGTTATATATTATAATATGAACACCGGAGCAGTGAGAACACGTAATGAACGGCTAGTGGATATATGACCCCCGCCCCGCCTCTATTATAGTCGGCTGGGGCAGAAAAGTCTAAATTCCTTAACAATGTTTATTATAAGTAATAATAAAATAATATAATTGAACACAAACATAATTAACAATTAAACAGCTTATTTAAATATTTATAACTAACACTTACCCGTCGTTCACCGTGTTCCTTCAACTTAAATTTTAGGTTTAGATTTAATTGGTAGTTTAGATAAGTTTTACTCTAATTATTCACTCTGAGTGTTCGTGCAGACTTTGCCCACATATACAGTTGCAGTGTTTACACATATAGGCATATGTATATTTAAATGTGTAAGTGCGCGATTGCGCACGAGCTTGTGCACAGCTGGGTAACACAAATAATACATATTTTTCTTAGTACAGTGATACTGAAACATTTGTGAAATTCATTTTCCATATACGGAATTTTTCATACACTTGATTCTGTTGACACACAAGGTTATCAAAACTAAATAGAAAAGCTATAGACATATTCTCCAGATCATCAAATCACAGATATTTTCTTCAAATTCTCATGGACAAATATATATTAATTCTTCATATATAATTTCACATTTTATGCAGTAAATTTCTCACAATTTATATCAGATTAGCTCACAATCTTTTCAGTGAAATATTATAATATTTATAATTTATAATTATAATATTCACTTATTTAATTTGAACTAAAACACACTCATCTTAGTCTCACACTTCACTGTCACTGCCCAGGCTTATAAGCCTAGTCTCCTATAGGGTCACTGAGTATTTTAACAATCATGTCAAAATAAATTTCGCACACTAGTGATAAAAAATTGAAAACTTCTCTGATTCTGAATTTCCCGTCTATAAAAACAATTAACAATTTTGCACCATTCAAATTTCCGACGATCAGCGCGGGAACCGCCACTAATATCTTCTCAGGTGATGAGTTCTCACCCTCATTATCGTCTCTCCCTTATTCTTATCTTAGTAAGACGCCAGCAAAATCACTATGCACAACCTGTCAGATTTTTTTTCTGCATTTTTTCAGTGGTTTCTAATACTCAAATTTATGATTTGATTGACACTATCGAAATATCCAATCGATCACTTCCAAAATAACACACTAACACTTCACTTGTTACAATTACAATTAATTTATTCACTGAAAATATAAACATGATTTTCCAAAATGGTACATATTATACACACAGCATTCACTTGGGTGTGTAGTATCACCAACAACAACAGTGAGGAACATGTAAAACACTAGAGAAGAGGAAGAACAAACAGGGATTGTGGCTGTGTTTAGGAGGGGCAATGTAACAGGTGAAGGTCCACGTGGGAGAGGAGAGGTAATGTTATGATTGGTAGGAGGGGGGAGGGGAGGGGAGGAGGGGGCCAAGTTTGTTTTGGTGGCTTTACTTACATTGAGTTGAGGGAGCGGAGTCTGTTGAGCGGCTTGTCAGGGTTTATGGCAGTGCCCTCCTTGTGGGGCTCACGGAGCCAGATGAAGGTGTCGTACTTCCGGAACTTCTTGAGCTTCACGTTGGGTAGCTGGATGTTGGACTTGAAGGACTGCTTCCGTGGCGTGTCGTGAGCAGACCCCTCCACCACCACGCTGTCCATCGCTAAACCCTCGCGATGGCTGGTGCGCCGGCGCAGTCCCAGCCCAACTTTGAACCCAGACATCCCGGCAAGCCCAACTCTCCGTCGCTGCCCAAACTATTGTACGGCCCAGTGCCACCACCTTGCCAGACGAGCGACGCTAAACTGCTCGTTTTCCAAGCTTTTGCTACTTTTTCTACAACGCACTCTCACCCTTTGCACCCTAATTAAAGACAACACTAGACCACACACACACACACTTAAAAAATGCCGTTGTTTTACTGCGGTAAATCGATATAGATTACGCCACAATGGTCAGTGTTTCCATGGCGACCACGAATATGCATTTTTGTCTTTACATTAGGCTATGCTCTCTCCCATGATAAATAATTAATGTCTCAATTTTTTCAATAGCTCATCCTGTAAATGAATCTGTGTTAGAAAGCAATAACATGCGACAAAATCCAAGATAATTTGTGTTTCACATTAATCGAAGCGTTTTATTCGCCTCGACAGCGCGTTGGACTCGTCATTTATTAACAATTATTGACTATGCCAGTTGATGTGTCGCGAGTTGGTTAGCTCATTATCACCCTCTGTACCTGGCTGGCCCTGCCCCGGTGACCTCACTGTCCGTACACTGTTGGCCGAGTCACTGTATTGGGGCTGTGACTGTAGCACTGGTAGTCACTGTAGTGTTGGGAGGTGTCACTATAGTGCTGGAGATGTCACTATAGTGCTGGGAGGTGTCACTTTTTTTTTTTTTTTTTTTTTTTTTTTTTTTTTTTGAGATATATACAAGAGTTGTTACATTCTTGTACAGCCACTAGTACGCGTAGCGTTTCGGGCAGGTCCCTGGAATACGATCCCAGCCGCGAAGAATCGTTGTTACAACCAAGTACACATTTTACTGTTGCGTTAAACAGAGGCTATAGTTAAGGAATTGCGCCCAGTAAATCCTCCCCGGCCAGGATACGAACCCAAGACATAGCGCTCGCGGAACGCCAGGCGAGTGTCTTACCACTACACCATGGAGACTGTATAGTGCTGGAGGTGTCACTATAGTGTTGAAGGTGTCACTATAGTGCTGGAGGTGTCACTATAGTGCTGGAGGTGTCACTATAGTGCTGGAGGTGTCACTATAGTGCTGGAGATGTCACTATAGTGTTGGGAGGTGACACTATAGTGCTGGAGGTGTCACTATAGTGCTGGAGGTGTCACTATAGTGCTGGAGATGTCACTATAGTGTTGGGAGGTGTCACTATAGTGTTGGGAGGTGTCACTATAGTGCTGGAGGTGTCACTATAGTGCTGGAGGTGTCACTATAGTGCTGTAACACTGTAGAGCTGTGAGTGTCACTATAATGCTGATGGTGTCATTGTAATGTTGATGGTGCCACTGTAGCGTTGAAGCCTTTTTTACATTTGAGTTTTAGTAGTATTTTATTCCCAGCGCCGTCTGAGGTAACACTATTTACCTATGTAACAAGAGTCATGCGAACCCCGGACCCCAGCGACCCCCTCCCCCGACCCCAGCGACCCCCTCCCCCGACCCCAGCGACCCCCTCCCCCGACGCCAACGACCCCCCCTCCAGACGCCAACGACCTCCTTCCTGACGCCAGCGACCCCCTCCCTGACGCCAGCGACCCAATCCCTGACGCCAGCGACCCAATCCCAGACGCCAGCGACCCCCTCCCTGACGCCAGCGACCCAATCCCAGACGCCAGCGACCCCCTTCGACGCACCGGGAGAATGCCACTAGGAAGGAAGAACAATTGGCAGGGAAAAAATGTAATAAGCGTTCCAGGAAATGGTTTCCCGAAGGACTGGATCGCTCTGGTATGTTACTAAGGGAAATAACAAACGCGAGAAGACATGAAAACGCTTAACACATTACATTATTTTTTTCGTTCTCATTCTCCCGTCTCTCTCTCTCTCTCTCTCTCTCTCTCTCTCTCTCTCTCTCTCTCTCTCTCTCTCTCTCTCTCTCTCTCTCTCTCTCTCTCTCTCTCTCTCTCTCTCTCTTTGTCCTTCTTCCCCATCTTTCTTTCCTACTTTTGCCTGTTCTCCCCTTTTCTCTTTCTCCCTCCCTCTCTCTCTCATGTTCTCCCTTCTCTCTCACCTCTCTTCTTTCACTCTCTCCCTTCCTCTTCTCCCCATCACCCTCACTCACCATTTCACCCTCAGCTACACAAACAAAACAAGTGCACAAATACGCTAAAATGCAATTCTCTAAACAACCAATGGTACACAAAAGCTTTACAACACAAAAGGTACTGTTTGTTTTGGCCCTCTCACTCAAATATGCTAACAGCCGGCAATGGCTGGAAATATTAAAGCATCAGTTCACTCCAGTTTAAGCTAGTGAGGTATAGGGTAGGTAGGAGTAAGGATGGATGGATGGATGGATGGATGGAGGGGGATGGAAGGAGAGAGAGAGAGAGAGAGAGAGAGAGAGAGAGAGAGAGAGAGAGAGAGAGAGAGAGAGAGAGAGAGAGAGAGAGAGAGAGAGAGAGAGAGAGAGAGAGAGAGAGAGAGAGAGAGAGAGAGAGAGAGAGAGAGAGAGAGAGAGAGAGAGAGAGAGAGAAAGTGTGGCGTGGGAGGGTAGAAGGAACAAGTGGTAGTGTACACAGTGACTATACTGGAAGCCTTGACACAGTGCCTCTGGACTCTCCTATATCATTAGCGTGAGTTATTCATGAGGGTATAACAGAGAAACGTGCAGGAAGAGAGAATTCCTAATACACGCGACGTCGTTTCAGATCCACTTCCTTCAACAACCCGGTGAAGGAAGTATTGATCCGCGGAACCATCTCAAGATAATAACGCTCACCTTGTGACATTCTTCAGCATAGCTCTCAATGTGGCTACTAGGCCGGGCCCTCGGCGCCACACATCTCAGCATACCACACCACCTACGGACACCCTCATCCAGCCAAACCACACCTAATACTCCCAACTACACCATCCACTCCAGACCACATCTCACCATCCACTCCAGACCACATCACCCGCGCCACACCACCCAGGCTATACCAATCCAAAGAACAAGAGGAATATTGTAGTAGTCCCTCTAGTCCTTCTAGAGGAATGGTCAATTTCAATTCAACTACGAATCTGTCCATCATCTTTTTAAAAATTGTCTGGGTTGCCCATTCGCTTTAATAATGGTAGCTGGTAAATTATACCAGTTTTTCACTGCTATCTACCCAATGCTTACATATTTTCTCAATCAATATTCACCAAATTTGAATCCGGTGTTTCGCATTTTGTTTTTCTTTCCTTTCCAAATACTTTTCATATTTCATATAACGTCGTAGTGCTTTCTCCTGATAATTCCCTTGTACATTAAAGTCACAGTATCATCATTTTAGGCCAATCTAAACAGTCCGTCCTCCCGAGCGTTCCCAACGTCACTAGGATGATGTACTAAGTTGTCCGAACTTAACCTACTCGAGGACCCACGAACAGAAAACGAGACACCCGTCAATTTCGCGAGCCAAGGGTTGGTTCAGGAATAGGCCCATTAAGCCAGAACGGAACTGACTTAAGCCCATTAACCCAGAACGGAACTGGCTTAATGGTCCTAATTATCCGTCACTTCCTGACGATGTGGACTATGTTATTTACATGTTTTAAATCATAATATAGTACCATTCTGTAGTATGGAGCTCACAACTGCGTAACCTAACCTATGTGAGGACTCACTCGAGCAAAGTAATTTGTATAATTTCTATGATAGGTACTGATCGTAAAATGTCAAGGGATATATACCAGGTCCTTATTCGACGATTATCTCACAATGCAAACAATATCATGAAACCTTAACATACACAGCAGTACATTAAATTATCCTAAAATTTTTACAACGTACTATAAATTGTATTACTGAATAATACATAGTATTATACTGTAAATTGGTTTCAAGTGCTTATCTGCAAAAATATTATTTATATTGTACAATGCTGAATAACATAAGTAAATAATAATTTTGTTAGTTTATCTTATACAATCTTTATCTTGTTGACCAGACCACACACTAGAAGGTGAAGAGACGACGACGTTCCGGTCCGTCCTGGAACATTCTCAAGTCGATTGTGGTCCAGGACGGTCTGAAACGTCGTCATCTCTTCACCTTCTAGTGTGTGGTCTGGTCAACATACTTCAGCCACGTTATTGTGACTCATCTGGTGGTGGTTATGGAAGAGGAGGTGGAGAGTGTGGAGGCCGTGGTTGAGATGATGGAGAGTGTTTAAATGTCTGTGGGGTTGGTCGTGATTTAAGTGGTAGTGGTTGAGATATGAGTATAGTTGTGGTGGATGTCCAGGAAGAGGTGATAGGTGCGCTTACGCATACCTAACATTGACAATAAGGGCCGTGAGGTCTTGTTCTTTATGCCTTTCTTATTATCTTTACTGTATATGTTGTTATAATTAAACTTTCTTGGCTTTCTTCTTAACTTTCGAATCGGGTCATATGTGGAAGCTGGTCAGAATTGCATTTCACCTTTGTAAACGCACATTAATGACATTATGTAAAAAAGACACATTGTACACTGTTTATGTAGGGCAGACATAAATCTGTATATATATATTTCTGTATGTAGGTTAGATTAGCATTTTATAAGCACTGCAAACCACCTTTTATGGTTGACTGTTCAATAAATCACTGAACTATATGTTTAACAGATCTCTAACCCTGTCCATGGAAGACAGGAGAATATGTATATATGCTGGTTAGCATTGTAAATATATGGCAACGTCTGTGGTAGAAAATAATATACATAACAAAAATCTCTACAACTTCCTTCAGTGCGTTTCTAGCCTTGACCACCCGCGCAAGTTACGAGCATTTATCTACATTTCTTGTACTCATTTGCGTTTCCAGCTTTCACCAGTGTCCTCTTGTTCCATTCTCCTTCAATTTAAAGAGGCTATCCTTGTTCACCTTGTCCATCCACCTCAACGTGACTTCAGGTAAACACTGTAAATCTCACAAATAGCCACTGCACGTCCCTATTCTCCTATGTCTCTTGTCTCTTCCTTACTTCCTTCCTTACTTAGATTTCTATTATTCTCTTTCCT